TGAATATAATATTACTACAATATTTGACTATAATATTAAAAAAATATTATAATTTTGAACTTTTAATGATTATATAATATTACAGTAATATTTTAAAACTTTTTTGTAATTTTCTTCAAACATAGAGAAAATATTAATATTTTCATAAAAATATTATAATGACATTTTAAAAATGTAAATTTGCTGACTGGGTTGTAATACGCGCATCTCCCATGTATATATTTAATGGTGTCCCATCATTTCGACGCGGCAATCTTGACGCACGTCAAATGGACGCAGCCATTTGGACGAACGACAATTGGACGCATACGTCATTTCGACGCATGCAATTTGAAAGCCACCACTTTTAGGCGCAAGTCAATTTTGACGCAAAACAAAAATATAATTTAATAAATTAAATAAAAATACAATTAAAAGTAAAAAAAACATATGATTTTAAATTTACTATTTATAAAATTTTAAATTATGCGCAATCCCTTGAAGCACTTCGTCGATTGTAAAGTCACTTGCATTTGTACATATTTGAATTAATCTTTTGGATGAGTCTTTGTACTTCTTTTTTTTAGTTGGTGCATAGTGCATACCCAGCAATTAATTGTTCTTTTATTACCTTTGTCAAACTTTCATCTCTTTGCAATGCACTTATAAACTTCCATATGACTGGTTTTCTACAATTTATTAATGGCGAAAATGCATTATGCCAGCCTTCAATACTATTATTAGTTCTCGGCAGATCAGATTCAAGACGCTCTAAACAGTTCCATATTTCTATAGGATATTGCGGTTGTCGACGTCGACCTCTCCTGTCCAAAATTCCGATCCACGTAGTTTCGAAATAGGTGATTAGTGGAGTTAACATATTTTCATTTTCCATATAAAAATCGCTTTCCAACAAAACTTCAAAATAATTAACTACTTTGTCAATGGGTATAAAAGCAAGCGCTATTAATTTTCGAACTTGTAATGCAAAATTTACATCTTCTATATATTTTGTTGTCAATCCGTAGTTTTGAATTTTTCGCCAAACTGCTTGACTAAAATGAAAAAAACAGCCATGTATTTTTGTACTTGGAAATTCATTTTTGATAGAGTTCATTGCTGCTTTTTCAAAATCTGTTGTAAATGATTTCGGACATAAATCAAACTTAAGGGATTTTAATGCTTGAAACATTTTATTATACGTTACTTCTTTTTTATCGGGCAACAAAACATACACTAACGGTATTATTTAACCAGAGTAAACTGCATGAATCGTATATAATTGACCAAATAAATTTGGACAAGATGAAAACGTTCCATCCGAAAACCAATGATCCAAATTTCTTAACACGTTTAAACTTTTTTCTGTTGAAAATAATAGAATTCGATCGTCATAATTACCATTATGGCCACTGTCAAATAATAAAAATTATTCACTGTCTAACGTAATTTGGAATTTATTTGGAATTTCAAAATTGTATGATTGAGGGTTTGCAGGACTGGCTTCCACCATTTTTCTAGACCGCTGTATTGTTTTCTTCAAGCATTTAATATTCGGTAGCTGTCCTACCACTGCACATGGTAACTAAAACAATATTAAACGAACAATATTAAATTATTTTGTAGTTAAAATGTTTAAAAATTATAAATTACCTAACCTGACGTTTCTCCCAGTATAGCTCTTGTAGTTGTTACTGTTGTTGTTGCATATTCCTTTATTAGATTTATAGTTTTCTTAGCTTCAATTTTTGCAACGTCTGGTACATGATTATTATCTATGGATTTTATTATATCTCCTACAAGTACAATTGAGTGTTAAAAAAAATGGTCACTAATAATTTACAATATGTAGGTTCTTATAAAAAAAACCATAACTATTCGAGTAAGTTATATTTATAATCAATTATTTATAATAATTTTGTGTCTGACATCATCAAAATATGAAAAATAAAAATAAAGAAATAAAGAAATAATACATAGGTACCTTGCATTGTATGCGCTCGTCCTGGACAATTTTTAATTTCGTTGCATCTCCATATCATTTTTCTTTACCTTCTCTATCTTTTTTATAAATAAATCCACCATGAACAAGGAGATCTTTTCCCCGTTGACTTTTTACAAACTCCAATGGCATGTTATAATTAATATTTTATTTATAAATAATATTACAGTATAAAATATATTATACTATATTATTATACTAGGTATATATAATAATATTATAGTAAAAAAACCAACTTCGTATTATTTTATTTTATTTTACTTAATATTATAATAAATAAAAAATTATACTTTTGTTTTGCGTCAAAATTGATTTGCTCCTAAAAGTGGTTGTTGCCGCCGCAACATAATAATATTATTTTTATGTCTTAATTATCACTGCATAAGGAGGAACAGCTGGTCTCACACACACACATATCACTTTTTGTATTATTTTATTTTTGTATTGAATGTGTCTTGTGAGTTATATAATATGTAGATTAAACGTTATCGCACGCCGCCGCGCCGTCTATGCAAATATTATTGAACACAGCCGCCGCAGTCCACCTTCGCGCACCGGTGTCAACGCAGAATAAAAATTATATTGCCTTCACGTGCGCAAATCGCCGTTTTCGGTTTATTAAATATTGTTTTATTTTGTGGGCGCGAATCGCCAGAAATATTTTATATTGTTCTATTTGAGGGCGCGAATCGCCACAACTTCGTATATTGTTTTTTTTTTGTATTATATTAATTTTTAGTGTGCGCTAATCGCCACTGCTGTGTGTTTTGTATGTGTCAATTACCAAATTATTTGTTATTATTATATAGCTTAGGTAGCGGCTGGCCAGCAGAGCACCGATAAATTGTGAGTTTTATTATTTATTATTTATTATTTATTATTATATTTATATGCCAGCCATAGGTTAAATAGCTGGCACATTATTATTTACTATATTTGTTGGGCCAGAAGGGCCATAATATTATTGATATTCTTGTTTTATACCTATTGTGTTGCTGTGATTTCTTATATATTTGTGTCATTATTCTTGTGTATTATACAGCAACAGCAACTTATTACCAAAAACCGTGTTACCATTTTATTATTATTGTCTTATTGTACACACACCCACATATATACACACATAACACACAAATAATACACATATAGATACACTACACGCATTACGTAGCTCAACAGTATTTGCCCGGCAATCCCGACCACTGCTGTTCGAGCTATTACACCACTACACACCCAGCTAGTCCTCACATTTAAGAACTGTCCTAGGTGTTAGTGGTGAACAATTAGGTGCCCGGGGTGCGCATATTATTATTATATGCTACCGGCCCGTACATTTGGTGACCTCGACGTGATTAACATTATTACGATCGCATAATTAATATTATCTTGCAGACCTTTATACCGTATTAATTATAATTTTATTTATTTTCCGTATATTAAGATTGGTCGTCCGCAGTATCATTTTAATTCATAAATTATACCTGTCGGACAAGGGGGTGTGCAGTCTGTATAAAACAACAGCAGCAATATTATTATTTGCTTGCTGATCAGGAAATATATGAGCGAATAGATATCTTTCAGCTTTCTAGTACAGATTTATAAATTACCGCTAACATGCCGTTAGACGAGGTAATGTTGGGTCAGTTAAAGGACCTTAAGAAAAAACGAGGTATAGTAAAGGCAGCGCTCACTCGCATGAAAAATTTCGTTGAGAGTTTTGATCCAGCAGTAGAGGCTATATCTCTCTTAGAATTTAGGCAGGAAGAGCTTCCTAGGGTAAATCAAAAATTTGACGATATCCAAACTCAAATTGAGCTGATTATGGTTGATGACACAGATAAGGAGGAGGAGGAGCGTGGCAGATTTGAAAATGAGTTTTTCAAGATTAGATCTACAATACAGGAAATAATAAATACAAAAAAGGTTTTCAACAATAGCACGCACAACTCCACTCTTAATATGTCAACCACTCAAATACGTGTACAACTACCTCCCATAAAATTACCAGAGTTCCATGGTAATATACAAGATTGGGAATCGTATTATGATTGCTTCAGGTCTATGGTGCATGAGGACAACAATCTCGCACCAGCTCATAAGTTTTATTATCTGAGAGCGTCCGTATTCGGAGCAGCCCTGGACCTCATCAAGACAGTTCCGATGACTGACGCCAATTACGATGTAGCAATGATGCGGCTGAAACAGAGATATGATAACAGGAGTCTAACAATACAGTCGCATATCAGATCATTATTAGAATCGCCATATGTGGAGGATGCAACGGCAACACAACTTCAACGGCTGCATTCACATTTATGTACCCACGTCGCCGCTCTTAAGGCACTAGATCAGCCAGTGGAGAGATGGGACGCGTGGCTAATTACGATAGCCTGTATGCGTTTAGACAAGGAGACATCGCATGGATGGCAGCTCCATCAAAGGAACACGCAGCTTCCCAGGTATATTGATCTCGAAGAGTTTCTCGCAAGTCGCTGTGTCGCATTGCAAAATGCTTATACATACCTCTCAAAGCCTAAGGAAGTGGAAGAGGAAGTTATACCGCCAAGGCAGCCAGGGTTAAAGAAGAACATTGGATCGTCGGGGGGCAAAAAGGTATTGGCTGCAGCTGCAAAGCCATATGCAGAAGAAGCATGTGTTTGTTGCCACGAACCTCACAGGCTGTATCAATGCAGCAAATTCAAAGAGATGTCCCCCAGCAAGAGAATAACGCTCGTGCGTGACAAAAGACTGTGTTTTGCTCCCTATATGCTATATAAAATTTTTTAAAAATCTAGGATTAGATTAAGAAGTGCCGCAAGGCATTTTAAATATAGTACAATTATTATGCTTGGTTTATTGGGTTATTCTATTTATGAGTTGTCCTATCTTATCTTAATGTGACATTTTTCACCATTAGTTCAATTGACAAACTCGATTTCACATTCAGTATCGCTGTATATTCGTACGGAGTCGTATAAAGTTTATTGTGTTTGAGTTTGTTCTTTAAATATTCGTAAAAATGGCTTGTGTTTTGACCAGAAATAAATTAAAATGTTTAATTTTTGGAGATGCTAAAGAACTTAGTAACAATGTACTTCCAACTTTTAAAGATGTCATGCAATATTATTTGTTTGTGAAACATAAACTAAAACCCGAAACTACCTCTAAAGAACCTAGTGTAAGCTCTATAGCAGAAATTATAGCAGTTGATTTAGAAAAGTTATAGCTAAAAGCATCAATTCCAGTAGTATCTCATACACGTGTGTTGCAAATGATAAAAACGTACCATGATAAATATCGGAATATACTGAAGTCGGCTAAGAGTAGAATAAATATTGAAACTTTTAAAAAAAAATTAGAAAACTTCCAAAGTGAAGCAAAAAACAGTCTTTTTGATATTGCGGCATGTAAATGTGTTGTGTTAAGTTTATGTAATTGTGAAAAATCTCGAAAAGTTCCAACTATTGAGCAGGTATTTATTATAGATCAAAGAACAACAAGAAAAATGGTTATGACTTCAATTGACATTTCAACTACTAAAAAGCTCCAAAAAAAAATAATAAGAAAAGAGACCGATGCAAAGCGAATTGAAAAAAAAAAATTGTCAGTAGTTAACGAGATTAATTTCAATTCCGATGAAGTCAGTACCGAAATTGATGATTCCGACGAAGATTGTATAGCTGTTTTGAATACGCTGACGTCATCTAGTATAAAAAACTCTCAGATGAGATTTAAGTTACCAGCTTTAGCAATGGCCTGTGATAGAACTGAAATATCGGACAGATTGCAAGTGCAATACTTCAGGATGTTGGTATTATTTCAGTTGATACTAAAAAAAATGTGATAGATAGAATGAAAGTTAGCAGAGAAAGGGAAAAAAACGTATAGATCTACAAAAAGTAAAAAATAAAAAATTATTGGGACTATATTTTGATGGGCGAAAAGATAAGACTATGGTAAATCATAAGGAAGGAACTAAATATTACAGACAAATAATAACTGAAGAACATATATCACTTATTCAAGAACCAGAATCTAAATACATAGGTCACGCAACACCAACTAACGGATCTGCTTTACAAATTAAAAATAGTATTATTAATTTTTTGGAAACAAATAATATAGTTACTTCAAACATTGTTGCGATTGGCTGTGATGGTACAGTTGTAAACACAGGCTTTAGAACAGGAGTTATTCGGCAAATAGAAGAACATTTAAAAAAACCACTAAAGTGGTTTATTTGTCAACTTCATGCCAACGAGCTTCCATTACGTCATTTGTTTCAACACCTAGATGGGAAAACATCTGGGCCTAATGGATTTTCCGGTTCAATAGGAAAACAGTTAGAAATATGCCACAAACTACCAGTTGTTGAATTTGTTCGTATCAAAAGTAACTTACCTTATTTAAAAAATGAAGTTGATTTAAGTACTGATCAAAAATATATGTTTGAGATGTGTCTAAGTATTTCTAATGGTAATTGTAGCATTGATTTGTCCAGAAGAAATCCAGGGAAGCAAGCACACTCTAGATCAGCGGTTCTCAACCTTTTTATAGTCGCGTACCACTTACACAATTTGAAAATTTTTACGTACCACCTGACCATTTTTTTTTGCTTATTAATAATGTATACGTTTATGTTATATGTAGGAATCTATAGAATTTTATTTCATTAGGAATTACAAAATGAGATAATATAAAATATAAAAATATATAATAAAAAATAAAGTATTTAATTGAGTAATGCACAGAAAGAAAAAAACTTAAAAATATAAAAAAAATTAAATATGTAAAATTATTATAATTATTATGGTTTACTTTTTATTTCAATGAGGCGATTGGTGTTGTTTTGAACGGACAATGACGTCAATATCGGGCTCCAAATTGCTAACTTTAAGTCTTAAATTATTTTCTACGTTTAATCTACTTCTATATTTATTTTTTGTGTACAATAAGTGAGAAAATGTAATTTCACACAGATATGTTGATACAAAAGGGATTAGAAACTGTAAAGCTTGTGTGGACAATGCCGAGTATTCTTGTTTCACGTCCAGCCAAAAATTAGTGATATTTTTGGTTTTGAAAGCGGTTTTTAGGGTATAGTCACTGGTTATGTCAATAAATAATTCTTTTGCCAAAATACCTTCTGGAATGTTTTTAATATAATCATCTTCATAAAATCATCAAATAATAATAATATAACAATAATATTATAAATAATATAATCATCAAAAAAAAGTACGAAAAAACTACATAAAAATATAAAATTTTAATATAAAATACACTTGATACAAACAACGCGTATGCCACTCGTGAATAAACCGAAGGAACTCACGAAACTAAGGTAAAAACACATAATTGTGAAATAAGAATACGCTTTGTCGGGCTTATCCGATAAAGTTTATCGATTTATATTATATTAAAGAGAATATCGTTATCTTAATTGCTACGATTACAAACGACCTCTACACCATCAAATAAACATTAATCAAACCAAATAATATTTAATGTTAATAATAATTCGTACCAATTTTTTTTATAAAGGAAGATTTTCTTCGCGTACCACCTATGAGCTCTCCGCGTACCATGAGTGGTACGCGTACCATGAGTGGTACGCGTACCACAGGTTGAGAACCGCTGCTCTAGATGGCTTACCACTGCTAATCGCATTTTACGTTTATATATTAGTATGAAATCTCCAAAAGAAAATTTAAAAATTTTAGCTGAGTTTATAGTAAAAGTATATGGTCCCATGTGGTTCTATATAAAAATGAATCCATTTTGTACATCTGGATCAAAACACCTTTGGAAGACCATACAATTTTCACGTTATCTACCTGATAACTTAAAGCAAATTATTGACCCTGTAATTGAACCACTGTAATTTCGTTCGAAATGCGTATTTTGGATCGCTCGAAAATATACTTATATGTATGTTATTTGATGATCGCGAATACATCAGAAAAATAGCTGTATCAAAAATCATAGAAGCGCGAAAAAATGAAAAGGAAGGCACGATTCGACGTTTTAAAATCCCACCATTGAATTTTAATGCTAATGACTACATCGAACTTATTAACTGGGAAAACAATCAAGTTACTGAGCCTCCAATTACATCAAAAAATTAATCAAGAAATATTGAAACAGGTAAAATATAATGTTTTTTATTTATTCTTATAACATATTAACTTCGTTTTTTGTAATAGATTATTGAAGGTCAATATAAGGAGAACCATTTTAACATTTTAAATTTTCCTTGTCATACTCAAGCTGTCGAAAGAAGTGTGAAACTTGTGACAGAAGCATCTATAGCTGTATGTGGACAAACTAGAAGGGACGGATTTATAAGATCAAGGATTGAATCTCGTAGAATTATGCCTCAGTTTCATTCAAAAAAAGATTTTAAATTTGGTTAAGTTTAGATAGATATTTGTATACTTGTTTACAATATTGTTACATGCGGCGTTTCAGGGATCCAAAAGCTGATGTACTTTGATAAATAACAATAGTCAAATTAGTATGGTAATCAATGTATTTTATTAAACCAGACAAAATAAGCAGAACAGTCGTGTTGATTGTGTAGTTGAGTGGATTGTAGCTCGTTCTAGAATGATAATCTCCGTGTAAGTTGTGTGTAATGGCTGGTGGCTAAGCGGCCCGCTCGGTCTTGGCGGCCCTGGTACATCTAACTCAGGCTGTCTCGCTGTCCCCTATATATATGGTGGCGGCGTCCTTTGAAGTGAGCGGCGTTTGTACAGTCGTCCTTGATATGGACCTCATGACTAAAAGTGGTATTCTAATCGTAAACACTTTTGGGTGTGGTCGCATTCCTGGTTGTTTTTATGAGCAAGTACAAGAAATTACGTAATCCCATTACACCTCCCTACCAAAAAAAAGATTGTTAACCTTTAAGTGTTAAGAATCTTTAACAACGTTAATTAAATAGTTTACAATGGTTGAATTACATTGCTTACATACATTTACATTGGTATCAATTTTTGTATACAGTTAACAATTTGATTACATTATTGCATTTGATTACAAAAATGTGAACATTTTACAATTTTTAATGTCATCATTATTATTATTATTGTTTTATTATTCTTATTACAATTTGTATATTGTGGTTAGTAAAATAAAAATATGAACATAAATACATGATTTAATTAAATAACTAGTGTTAATAAGAAGGATTAATAATCTTTAATAAAATGATATGTGTACCTGAAATTATAACATTATAAGCGTTATGTAAGTATAAATTTTAAGTATTTTCCCCTTTATATAATAATAATTATTATCATATACTAATCTATGTGAATAATCGTTAAATTTGCCATAAACATATGCAACTATAGATCTACTTAAGGTAATTCATTATGTAATTGGATATATAATAAATGTTAATTTATTTATTTGTTTTCATTGTTTAATTTATTTTGTGTTAGATTTATTTATTAATTATAATAATTTATTTATTTTGCCTTAAAATTCCTTTTATATTTTTTTGCTAATTTATATAATTTAATGGGCTTTATTTCCGTTACTATATAATTAAATAGGCATTTTGTTAAAATTACGTCAGCTATCGGGTCATGACAATGTGTAATATTATGATTAATACCACATGCTAGTTCATGAGCTTCTGACAATCCTAACATTCTACCTTTTTATTACCTAAATAGCCTGAATATAATACTTGCTTAGTTTCTAGGTTTGTTAATTCTAATATAAAATCATCATTATTCCTAATACTAATTGCAGATATGTTTAAATATGCTAAAATTCCTGTTAACCTTAAACGCTTAATTATTGTGATATCTGATGATCCGTTCCAAAATACTACTAGCGGCTCCCTATCGTTTATGTGCAAATATCTTTGCAAGTATACCGTAGACAAGGTCGATTCCCCCTGGTGACTTACACTTTTGTATAATTGTTCCAGCAATGGTTCAATCACTTTTGCCTTTTTCCCTCGGAATACTCATTTGATATTCTGCACTATATTCTTTAGGTCACATCGGCGGAATCTTCTTAACTTATCATCTTTTGTAAGTATAAGAGGACTCCCCTCCAATTTCTTGGGTTGGTACTTTTCTAAACTATTCGATATTGCGCCGGATACCAGTAATGTATCGTTCTTACTGACGGTAAAGAACTCGAAGTCCATTATAAAAAGCGTATCTGTGAGCTAAATAAAATGATTATTTTTTTTTAAATTAATTGGTTTCTTAGTAATATATGTTTCTATTGTTATTAATGTTGATACTAGTTCTTGCGGTGTCATAAGACTTGGATGTATCATACCTTCTCTAGCGGCAGTTACTATTTGTCCTAATGTTTCTGTTTCGTAGGAATAATGATTTATAATTATTGTATATAAATTATGTATTTCATTTTTCATTAGTAAATCTAATATATCGTTTGTTTTGTTCTGTATTTTTGACATTTTTGACATTTTTTCATATAGTTGATGCTCCTTTTCCGTAATATTATTGTATAATTGTTCAGTTTGATTTATTGTATTACCGATGCTTCTTATTGTTGATTTTACTACAGTAGTTTGGGTTTCCATTATATGCAATATGTTAGTTCCTGATTCTTCCGTTTTTTTTTATAGCTTCTTGTGTTTTCTTGTGCATTTATCATCACATACGCCAAATAATGTATGCATGGTGTTACCTATTATGTTTATTAATCCTCTTTTCTTTCTTTGTGTACCTTCCTGTATAGTACTTCCTAATGACATATACATTCGTTCCTTCTGTTTAGTTAATTCATTATATAAATCCGTAATTACTATTTGATATTTTCCACATAAATCTTGGTGTTTCTGGTCAGTACATATATTTGTTATATTTTTTATTTTTTCCCCCAATAATTCATATTTCTCGTTATATTCTTTCAATGAGAAAAACGTTATAAGACTGTATTGAGCCCCTATCAATCTAACTGGCCCTAAACCTTAATATTGTATTCCCCTGCCAACTCCATAAGGCTTATATGAAAAGTACTCTGATGTATTTATTTCGTCAGAGTCGACAGTATTGACTAGAAAACTCGTCACCATCACCAATCTAAAAGTATAAATTATAATTATATTAAAACTAAACTATTTATATATATATTTTCCTAGAAGTACCTATCATAATCTAATTTATGTTATTATTATTTATTATATTTATATATATTTTTAATTAATTGATCTCTAGATATTTTATGCGATATTTGCATTTTTTTTTAGATCGAATATATAATCGTCGTAATTGTAACGTGGTTCAGGTTCGGCTTTTAATCTAATCGGTACCTCCAACGTACGTCCATAGACTAATGCGTATGGTTGAAAATTAGTAGAAGTATGTACCGTTGAATTATATACAAAGAATGCAAAGGGTAGTAAATGATCCCAATTATTTAAATTCTTATCTACATAATGTCGTAAGTACTCGGCTAAAGTCCTATGAGCGCGTTCTACGGGGTTACCCTGCGGTCTGAATGGACTTGTGTTAACCTTTTCTATCTTTAATATTTTACAAACATTTGCAAACGTTTTCGAGAGGAAATTAGTTCCTTGATCCGTGAGTATTGTTTCTGGTATGCCGTGTACACAAACGAAGTGTGTAACAAAGGCTTCCGCAACAGTATTTGCCTTCTGGTCAGGAAGTGGAATTCCTAAAGTGTAACGTGTCAAATGGTCCTCCATCGTTAAAATGTATACATTATTGGACAGTGTAATCGGCAAGGGCCCTACTATATCCATAAATATTTTTTCGAATGGTTTAGATGAAGTGGATGTAATAGCCATTGGTTGTTTTATGTGCCGATTTGATACCTTATTAACCTGACATGACGCACAATTCTTAATATATATTTTCTAACGTCTTCTTTCATACCCTTCCATAAGAATTGTTTTTTAATGCGCTTAATGGTTTTATTCACACCTAAATGTTCGCCTAGTTTTGAGTCGTGAAATTGTGATAAAATGACTGCTTTTTCTTCTTCACTATATTCTACATTTGCACATATAATTATTTCTATATTTGTTTCGCGAAATGTGTATTGTAACATTGACCTTATTTTTTCCATTCTAAATCATCGTGATCGTGATCGCCTATCTTGCCCATGGCTAATTTATTCAGATTGTTTTCCTTACAAAATGGTTTTAAATGTATTAGTGATACATATATGCTTTCGTAAGTGGCCTTCTGTCGGTCTTTATTTTTCGTTACTAAGAATATTATAAACCTGTTTTCCTGTTTGAAATAGGGTGTGTCTCCTATTACTTTACTAGTCGGCAATATTGTACCGTTTCCAAATTGTATTTTTAACTGATAATTCGTTCCTGTTCTAAAATTATATTGCTTGGCAATTTCTGATACTATATTATATTTTTTTGGTGAATCTATTAGTGTACCTATAGTTTCTTTTACATTAATATTTGCGATAATTTGTGTTCCTAACTTTTCGATATATTGTTCGTATGATTTGTTTTTTATTTCCTGAATTGAATATATGCATGTGAGAGTATCTACATTTGAATTTAGAACTCCGGGTTTGTGACGTATTTGTAATTGATTTGTGTTAACGGCGAATGAATTAAATGTTATATGATTATTTTCTAAGGTTGAGAATATGTGAAATATTCGTGAGTCGGTTGTTCCGCGATAATCTGGTTTATCGTACGAGTACCGCGCCTCTCGTTCGACACGTATTCGTTTTCCGAATTATTAACGTTCCTACTCTCATCGTTTCTCTTTTTATAACACTAGTCGATATTATGACCAGTTCGATTACAGTATGAACACGTAACTACCTGTATATTATAATTCGTAGGTGGTTGCGTAAAATTATTCCTATCAGGTGGACGGTTGTTATTGCCATTGCTCGCATAACTAGGTCTCGTATTATTCCTACATTGAGATGCATAATGATTACCATTACATATATAGCATTTTATTGCGGGCTTATTGATTGGTTGAGAAAAATGGTTTGCTCGCGGATAATTATTTGTCCTTACAGGGTTATTTGGTCTAATGTTTTCGTTGTTCCTATTTTCGTAATTCGATCTGCGCTGGTTATAATTTTGTGAATATTCGAATAATGGTTCCTATTTTCCTGTTCTAATCTTAGTTCCACCTGTTCCGACATAGCAAGTTGTTTCGCGATCTCCAGGGTTTTGGGATTACGAGATTTTACTATTGTTCTAATCGGTTCTACTAATCCTTTAATAAATATCGCTAGAGTTTGTTCCCTTAATATATCATATATAATTTTTGCTTCTGCAGCTTCTTTGCCTAATGTACTTACGGTACATAACTGATAATATAGTTTCTCTACTCTATGACAATAATTATTTGCATCCTCATTGTGATACATTCTAATCGAATTTAATTGAAGTTGTAACGACGATGCCGTGGTTGTTACCTCAAATGCATCTGTTAAATAATTTTTTATAAACTGCCATTTCGATACATTTTTGTATTTAATCATTTCTAATGCTCTACCCGTTAAACGTGTGGTAATATATTTTACTAGTGTTGGTGCACTGTTTGTGTCGACTAAACTTACTGCCATATCGCATGCATTTATGAATTGATAGATATCGTCTATTCCTGTGCATAGTGGAATTAATTTAAAAGCGTCTTCTAATTTTATGGTTACTGCCATTTTTTTAGTGCGTGTTATAGGTAAAAATACTAATGACTGATGTTCAAAACTATCTGTAACTTGGCTACGTGTGATTACTCCTGGACTTGGGTTTCTACTTGCGCTATCTCCTAACTGGGTATCTACTATAATATTCAACTGGGCTTTCTGCTGGTCTTCAAACTGGGCTTGGGCTTCTCTCTGGGCTAATAACTGGGCTTCTAACTGGGCTTCTTTTACTACACTAGTGTCATACAATGAATTACTTACTTTCAAGGGAGATGTACCTTCTTTGTCCATAAATTACTTAGCTACCTATTTAATACGTTAATACTCATAATAATAATAATCAACAATGCCCTATAAATACAATAATAACCTCAATAATATGCCCTTTAATAAATTCAATAAACTTCAATAATACTTCAATAATAAAAATGCCCTCAATAAATCAATAAACTTCAATAATAATCAATAATAACTTCAATAAAACATGCCCTCAATAATAAACTTCAATAATAATCAATATGCCCTCAATAAATTCAATAAAACTTCAATAATAATCAATAAAATATGCCCTCAATAAAATTTTAAAACGTTTACACCATTATACTTATAGTCAACTACTTAGAATTATCTAATATGTCCTAATTATGTTGCATACGTCTATGTAACAAATTTAAATAATTATTCACTCACAATAATGCTGTGTTCCTGGTTGCTGATGACATGCTGATGGTGCTGATGGATTTGTTGGTACCGCGACGTGACTTATTTGTTTTTTTTTTATGGTTCTTCTTGGAGTTGTCTTCTCGGAAGAGTGTACAGTTCTTCTTTGTTGACGGTAGCCTTTTGACGGGTTGCCTCCTTTAAAAGAAATCCTACTTCGACTGCGCCAGTGTTACATGCGGCCCTTCAGGGATCCAAAAGCTGATGTACTTTGATAAATAATAATAGTCAAATTAGTATAGTAATCAAATGTATTATATTAAACCAGACAAAATAAGCAAAACAGTCGTGTTGATTGTAGCGAATTGTAGCTCGTTCCAGAATTGATAAGCTCCGTGTAATTATGTGTGATGGCTTGGCGGCTAAGCGAGTCGTGTGTTGTTCTCGTTTCTGGATACATCTAACTCAGGCTGTTTCGCTGTTCCCTATATATATGGTGGCGGCGTCCTTTGAAGTGAGAGGCGCGTGTACAGTCGTCCTTGATATGGACCTCATGACTAAAAGTGGTATTCTAATCGTAAACACTTTTGGGTGTGGTCGCATTCCTGGTTGTTTTTATGAGCAAATACATGATATTACGTAATCCCATTACAATATGATTAAATAATTAAAATATGTGTATTAAACTCATAAAATATATCAATTATACTTTAATACAATTAAAACTAATGTAGAAATAATAATTAAAAAGAAGTAAGTCGCGGCACCTCTAAAATTGGTCGAATCATTTTCATGTTTTGTATACACTTAATTGAGTATAAAACACAACTTTTAAGTACTATTAGATTTCGCAAAAAAAAATTTTTTTTTTTATATTAATTCGATCCACCCTATTGTACATATGTTATGTGTATCATCGGATCCAGTTATATCAAGTTTACGTAACGTACTAAAAAAAAATATACTCAAGCTTTCCGATGAAGCACAAAACCTTGTAAATATCGAATAAATAAAGTAAAAATGTATATAAAAAACAGTTTATTATTCTGTGGTGAGCCACCGGCCTCACCACATGGTTCCCTCCCTGCCGGTCACGCCCCGCACGTTGGCAACACCGCTCGGCACCTCCGCGTCGCGCCCGACAACGAAGTGCCGGGCGGCCGTCGGCCCAGAGTCGTTTTAACACCGCCACGCGCTATCGCACGTGTCCGCTTTTTCTCCGCGCTTGGTCGACCCGTCGAAAAACCACGTCAGCACGCCCTCAAGCACGCCGCCACTACCACTGGTACGCTCATGGCACCCCGGGGCACGACTATGGTTTACCCTACGGCCTACGACGACACCGCGCTCCACGACTTCTGGACTAGACCCGTGTGTCAGTCACGCGCAAAGAACTCGCGCCTTTCGATCGCCTCGTGACCGGCTCTCTCAATAAAATATTTCTATAATCTGTACTCAATTAATAAATAATAAACGTATCCACCTACATCCGAGTCCGAGTTTATTATTCAGCGTATGTTGGCTGCGGGTAACAACCCACTTAACCCGTACGCCACATTGGTGACCTCTTCAAAAACAAAACACGCTCCTCGCACGCCGAACACGCTCTCCAACACCGCGTAAGTCACGCACGCCGAACACGATGACAGCTCAGACAGACCAGCAACACGGCTTCTCCGGCGCTCCGGGCTTCACCACGGATCAGGTACTCAGCCGAGCGCACATGGTTGTGCTCAACACCTCGACTCCTCTGGTCAGCTCCGTTCGAGTTCTCGCCTTTACGCACCCGCTGTTCATCGTGGAGGCACGCACTTCAGCCGTCGTCAAAATTCAACATTAAAATTTCAACTCCAGCTATCAATACGTGTCAATAATGCTATCAATAATGATAAGAAAAAAAGTGATAACGCGGGGCCGCGGCGACGGAATTTTCTGATTGGCGTTCCTTATTTGCTGCGTCGCGTCTGTCCGACCAAACAAGAGACTAACCTCGTTTTATAATATAAGAGCAGTTTTGAGTTTATCTAGATAAATATTCTTTTATCTTTTATCTTATCTAGATAAATAGAGAATATTAATTAACACAGTTATCTAAGATAAAAATCACCATTATCTAGATGAATTTATCTAGATAATTTAATTTATTAAACGGGTTTTATTTATTATAGCCTATAGGTAGACAATTATAAGTAATAAGTAGGTAGTATTTACTAATAACTAATAATTATTGACATTTTCGATAACATACTATTAAGTTATTCTACATTGCTACGACCGCTACGAGTTTTTGTTTGTATGTTTTCGTAGTATTTAATAATTAATATTATGTTATATCATAAATCATAATGCTGGTACCTATATTATGTAAACATATTATAATAAAACATTTATAATTAAAATCTATAAAGCAAAATATACATCCATACAGAGAAATAAAACCCACCAGACGGCACTACGTCAGTCCAGAATAACATATAAAAATAACTCAAAATAATTTGATTGTACAAAAATGACATATTAATATTATTATCATTGGTTATAAAATATACAATAATAGACATACTATTTATTAATAATTATCAACGATATTATAAACATAAATGGTAGGAATATCTTAGTAGACCTATTGTATCACGTCCCAACAATATCAACAAACAGGCAACAGCAAGTAGCTGAAATATTATTATAGTCGTACAACTACCTCGTGACTTCATGAGTCGTGGAACATATTATAATATTTATTATATTACATATTGGAAGTCGACTCACCGTAGTACCGTACGCGTTTTCTTATTAAAGTTTAGTAATTGAATTTAGTCAAATCTGTGATCAAGTATTTTTTACTATGCGGAGATTTTTAGTATTGACTGGTGATAAAAATGACGCAAGTCAGTTGAAAAAACAACGTCTTCAAGAGGAAGAAGAAGACGATCCTGGTAAAAATAATACTATTCAAGAACAAGATCTACCGAAGTTATCTGAAGAACCTTTGATTAAATCATACTTATTAGATTGGCAATTTTTTACTGTTGTTAAAGAAGATGGATTAAAATTGACTGCACAATGTAAAAATTGTCCCAAAATCATTCAAGGACAAACATTTTCCACAAAAAACTTCTTAAGTCACTTAAAAGTAACTACCTAATAATTAAGTATAGTAGTATATTATAGTGTACTATTATACTCGTATAATTTTAATTTTAAATGCAATAATTGCAATAATTATTAGTTTATCAAACGGAAATAAATATTTGTGATTTAAAATTTTTAGTATAAACATAGATCATTGATTCCGAAAGTTGAAGAGGCTCGAAAAAATTCAAAGAAGTCAATGGTAACATCTATAACGCATACAGAATTGCAGGGCAATAGATCTACTAAACTATCAAAACAACAGGTAAATTGTATAATTAAATCTAGTTATTACTTATAATAAACTAAAATAATTGCCAAATATTTATACATAATACAAGTATTTTTTCTTTTAATTATTAATTTTGGGAACATATTCAGAGAGTTGTTTTTTTTATAGCATACATATTAAATAACTGATTTGTTTAGTAAAAACTTTACTGGACAGATAAATTATGTTAAAATAGTTGTGACAATTTATTTTCTTAATCTGTAACTGTTCACTTGTGTTAAAATATAGTAAATACCTATATGTTAATATAATAGGTAGGTGCAGCGTAAAGGGGTTTGGCCGTTTTGGAACATTTTTGCAATTAAAATTTAAAAATAATACACATTTAGAAATTAAAAATTTATTTAACTAATGAATTTTGTAAACGTGATGACAACAACTTAGAAATTGTTTGCTCAGCTATTTTTAAGACAAATACAGTTAAATATTCAGGTCAACATATTGATGATTGTCTAAATTGATAAGTTATTATTAATTTAAGAAAAAATGTTTATGTATTTAAAATCTTAAAAATATTTAGAATAATAATGAACTTAAACATAATAATATGGTACCTATACCATGCTCTAATACAACCTATAGTTACATATGTAATTACTAATTACCTTTTGTGGTTCCGCTTATAAAACACATTACACATATATAATATCAATGAACTCGAGCAGTGGTGTCATTTATGGAATGCAACGGTATGCAAATGCATTCCATGAATTTTTTTTTACAAACTTTTTGTGTAGATCATTTCATAAAATAATTTATCCTAATATAATTTTGTAATTTTTTTTTGTGTCAATTTTGATGTTATGCCTTATAGTTATGGAAATTTTTAACTCCAACAGTGATCAGTTTTTATAATTAAAATCTATAAAGCAAAATATACATCCATACAGAGAAATAAAACCCACCAGACGGCACTACGTCAGTCCAGAATAACATATAAAAATAACTCAAAATAATTTGATTGTACAAAAATGACATATTAATATTATTATCATTGGTTATAAAATATACAATAATAGACATACTATTTATTAATAATTATCAACGATATTATAAACATAAATGGTAGGAATATCTTAGTAGACCTATTGTATCACGTCCCAACAATATCAACAAACAGGCAACAGCAAGTAGCTGAAATATTATTATAGTCGTACAACTACCTCGTGACTTCATGAGTCGTGGAACATATTATAATATTTATTATATTACATATTGGAAGTCGACTCACCGTAGTACCGTACGCGTTTTCTTATTAAAGTTTAGTAATTGAATTTAGTCAAATCTGTGATCAAGTATTTTTTACTATGCGGAGATTTTTAGTATTGACTGGTGATAAAAATGACGCAAGTCAGTTGAAAAAACAACGTCTTCAAGAGGAAGAAGAAGACGATCCTGGTAAAAATAATACTATTCAAGAACAAGATCTACCGAAGTTATCTGAAGAACCTTTGATTAAATCATACTTATTAGATTGGCAATTTTTTACTGTTGTTAAAGAAGATGGATTAAAATTGACTGCACAATGTAAAAATTGTCCCAAAATCATTCAAGGACAAACATTTTCCACAAAAAACTTCTTAAGTCACTTAAAAGTAACTACCTAATAATTAAGTATAGTAGTATATTATAGTGTACTATTATACTCGTATAATTTTAATTTTAAATGCAATAATTGCAATAATTATTAGTTTATCAAACGGAAATAAATATTTGTGATTTAAAATTTTTAGTATAAACATAGATCATTGATTCCGAAAGTTGAAGAGGCTCGAAAAAATTCAAAGAAGTCAATGGTAACATCTATAACGCATACAGAATTGCAGGGCAATAGATCTACTAAACTATCAAAACAACAGGTAAATTGTATAATTAAATCTAGTTATTACTTATAATAAACTAAAATAATTGCCAAATATTTATACATAATACAAGTATTTTTTCTTTTAATTATTAATTTTGGGAACATATTCAGAGAGTTGTTTTTTTTATAGCATACATATTAAATAACTGATTTGTTTAGTAAAAACTTTACTGGACAGATAAATTATGTTAAAATAGTTGTGACAATTTATTTTCTTAATCTGTAACTGTTCACTTGTGTTAAAATATAGTAAATACCTATATGTTAATATAATAGGTAGGTGCAGCGTAAAGGGGTTTGGCCGTTTTGGAACATTTTTGCAATTAAAATTTAAAAATAATACACATTTAGAAATTAAAAATTTATTTAACTAATGAATTTTGTAAACGTGATGACAACAACTTAGAAATTGTTTGCTCAGCTATTTTTAAGACAAATACAGTTAAATATTCAGGTCAACATATTGATGATTGTCTAAATTGATAAGTTATTATTAATTTAAGAAAAAATGTTTATGTATTTAAAATCTTAAAAATATTTAGAATAATAATGAACTTAAACATAATAATATGGTACCTATACCATGCTCTAATACAACCTATAGTTACATATGTAATTACTAATTACCTTTTGTGGTTCCGCTTATAAAACACATTACACATATATAATATCAATGAACTCGAGCAGTGGTGTCATTTATGGAATGCAACGGTATGCAAATGCATTCCATGAATTTTTTTTTACAAACTTTTTGTGTAGATCATTTCATAAAATAATTTATCCTAATATAATTTTGTAATTTTTTTTTGTGTCAATTTTGATGTTATGCCTTATAGTTATGGAAATTTTTAACTCCAACAGTGATCAGTTTTTGAAATCAAATTCTGTTTATCTTGAAAAATGTCTTAACCATTAAAGGCATTTTAAAATTAATTCTATATAATTATCTTCTGAATTTTCTTCCATCCAAGCACTACTTAAAGAAAAAGAAATTAATTCTGATATAATAACACTAACGGAAATGCTATCTAAACTACCATCTTCTTTTGTAAAACCCTTAAAAATTTTAACAATAATTTTAACATTGCCTGTTAGTACTACTTCCAATGAACGCCTTTTTTAGATAAATAGTGAACAATCATTTGAGCTCAACAATGGGAGATAACAGGTTAAGTGATTTATAATGATTATTGAAACTGATAAAGAAAAAGCTGATACACTAGATCTAAATGAAGCAGTAAATATTTTTTCTAAATTAAAATCTAGAAAATATACTTTCTTTTAATTTATTATATTATATTTAATCATACATTACTTATTAATTATATTAGTTGGTGTATACACATTTTTATATGAAAATCTATAAGGTTATTTAGTTTTTTTTTAGCGTTAATTGGAAGCTGTACTAAAAGGCAATGTTAAAATAAAGTTAATTTTGATCAGTTGTAACTTGTATATCTAATTGCAAGGATGGCCAAGTTAATGATTTTTTTTAACTCGGTTAAGTTAAGTTAATATACAACAATAATAAAAAGTTAAAAGTTAATTTAACTATAGGTTAACTCAGTTAAGTTTAAAGTTAATACACACCTTTTGTTAACTTTTTTTTAAGTTATAAGAAAGTTCATTTGTTTATGCAAGGCTAGAGTAGGTACTTTATTTTTTAATATTTTCCAACCCAAAACTAAATTATAGACATAGTGTTTTTACTTTATACAGTATTTCCATATATAAGTTAGATTCGAATGATATAAATTTTAAATTCTAAACCATTTACGGTAAATATTTTTTGACATGAATACGAAATAGACTGAAATAGTAAAATATAATAAAATTAAAAACAAAATAAATTAACTCAACTTACTTCTTAAAATGAAAAATTAACTCGTTAATTTCATGTCAGTTAAAAAAGAAATTTATTAAGTTAACAGTTAATTTAATGAAAAGCCAAAAGTAACTAGTTAATTTAAAAAGTTCAAATAAATTAGTACCCAATGAAGACAAATTGTAAAATTAAATAACTTAAGTATTATGTTTTAGTTTATGATATTATGTGTTTTTAAATTAATTGTTCTACAATTTATTAATTTGTGCTTATTTTAGGTGAAAAGTATTGTATTTGATTACATTATACAAGAAATGAGACCCCTCATTTGCTGTGAAAAGCTGCTTTTCGAAGACTAGTCATGGAATTAGCCAGAATAACCGATTCATCATTACTTCCTAATCGAAGACAATTGGCTAATGATTTGAAATTAAGGTATTCAACATATCTAAATACGATGACCATTTTGATAGAAAAACAGAGTTATATTTGCATAACAGCAGACATCTGGAGTGCAAATAATAAAAGCTATATGGGCATGACTTGTCACTATATTGAAGAAAATACATATAAACGTCATTCGTATGTTCTTGGTTGCCGAAGGATAATAGGGACTCATAATTTTCTAGCCATCGCCAAGGTCATAACTGAAGTAATGGATACATACTGTATAACCAACTCAAAAGTCACTCATATAATTACTGACAACGCCAGTAACTTCGGTAAATGTTTTCGCACCTTCTCAAGTTCAATTACTTCTTCAAATCATTTAACAGCAAATTATGACATTGGCAATTTAAATTCTGATGAACCTGGTAGTGATACTATAGTTGAAGATTCAGACTCTGAATCTGAAAACGGAGACGAGAATATTGAAAGAATTGATGTTGGTTCAATTTTTAATAATCAAGAAGTCCAAGAGCAAGATCATGATAATAGCTATTGTTTACCTAAACATATTACTTGTGTAGCTCATTCGTTGAACTTAATTGCTACTACTGATATTTCTAAAATTTCAGATGAAACCTATATCAGTTTATCTTCAAAAACTTTTAACAAACTACAAGCATTCTGGAACTTATTAAGTAGAAGTACCATGGCATCTGATAAAGTAGTAGAACATTGCAACTGTAAATTTCCTATTCCTGTCGTGACGAGGTGGAACTCAAAATATGATGCTATTAAAAAAATTTTGGAACATAAGAAAAAAATAGTGAAACTATTTGATATTTTAAAGTTGAATAAACTTAAAGGTAATGAATGGGTATTTTTAGAGGAGTATTGTTTATTGTTAGAGCCATTAGCAAATTCTCTTGATAAGCTACAAGGAGAAAAACATAATTATTTAGGGTATGTTGCGCCCACATTAATAGTATTAAGAAAACTATTAATTCAATCAACCAATTTAAAGCACTGCAGACCATTATGTTTATCATTAATAAGTTCCTTAGAAAAAAGATTGTATTATGTATTTGATCTTAGTGATCCAAAAAGCAAAACATATATTATTGCGTCTATAAGCCACCCTAAGTTTAAGTTATCTTGGGTTCCAGTTAGGTACACAAATTTGTGTAAAAACATTTTTTTAAACGAATGTGAAATAATAAGTGCCACTATTGTGTTATGGAACCGGGGTTCCAACACAAATAATTTAACGCACGATTAGATTGATATTAATTATATAGGTTTTATTACGGGTTTTAACATTAACTAGTTATACATATAATATAAAAATGCTCTTCTTAAAACATACGTTAAGTATAATGCTCTGTTCTAATGCGACTGGCTAACCTCCTCCCTGTGCGTCGGCCTACGGCCCCGCCGGACGCCGAATCGCCCAGTCAGCGGATTCCTGTCGACGAGCCGTCGACCAACACACTCTTCTTATACTGTGAACATAATATAATATAATACTATTCAGGGGTTCACAACAATTGAAAATAAATCATCTGGGTCCACTGACAATGAAGATAGTGATAGTGATGGATTCTTCAATAGTTTATCTGAACGTTCTACTATAGACATTTGTACACCAGCACAATCTCAAGACAATGATTCAACTGAGGATACTATAAGAGTTTCAAATGCTGCTAGTGTTCAAGCATTAACATTTTTAAATTCGAAGAAAAAAGATCTGGTGATGCTTGATCAATTTAAAGTTGTCAAGCAAGTTTTCCTTAAGTTTAATACAACGCTACCATCATCAGCTCCAGTTGAACGGCTATTTAGTGGGGCCATACAGGTTTTAACTCCAAGACGTAACCGATTAAAAGACAGCACATTTGAAATGCTCTTATGTAGCAGATCTCAAAAATTATCTCTTATTATTTTTCTTATATACATTTAAAACTTTTTATATTTTTATTTTGCCACAATATGCCAAGATGGCCGAATTTTTTCAAAATTTGTTAATAGGTATAATTTTATATTCATTTCAGTTATTAATAAACGAGTGTTGTCAACTGGAACTTCTCAACCATTATTTACATTAATAATAATATGAAATATGATTATTAATTACAATAAAATATTTATTTATTTATTTTTAATATATTTACAATCTATACAGACTAGGTTGGCCACAATAAAATGTACATAAATTATTATGTCTTATATTTTATAAGAAATGAGTGCCATAAACCAATAGAAAAAAAATTTATCCGATAATTTATCTAGATAAAATAATTTTTTTCATCTTTATCTAGATAAATAAATAATTTTGTCATCTTTATCTTTATCTTTATCTAGATAACATTATTATAATTTATCTTTATCTTTATCTAGATAAAATTATATTTATCTCGGCTCAACACTGTTAAGTTAAGTAATTTGCGATTAAAGCAAGCTGATTATTAAAATATACCTACACGTTTAAGAATAGTTTATTGAAATGAATAAGAATTTTCTGATCTGACATATTATATTAATTACATCCTAAAATATATTTCCAAAATATTATATGCTATATGTACATACATCATTATAATATAGGTGTTATATAATAAACTAATACATTTACCTATTAATTGTTTTCAATCATACAAGAACGTAAAATAGTGTTAAGTATGTTTATTTTGATGTATCTATAGCCTATAGGTAAAAATGTACAATTATTGCTTTACCAATATAATATTAATTGCATTATGTAATACATTGATACATTGTTGAATAAGGTTGTGTAGTATTGATATTAGATAGGTACCTATTAGGTATATAGTATTACTAAAAAATTTACAAAATACCAAAATAATTGTTGATAGTAATTTTTTAAAATTATAAACATTTTATACTAGGTACCTATTTAGTATTGATAAATTTGGGCAAATTATCATTAACACAATAATAGTTAATGTTTCAGACATTTTACTTCAATACTAATATTTAGGTAATGGGTAGGTACATCAATTTTTTAGTTTAGTCAGAACTATAATAGGTATATATAATTTAAGTGACTTATACATACCTATCGTATTTATGTTTTTTATATTACAATAAAATTGTTTATTTATGATTTCTAATTGTTATAAAATTTTAAATAATCTTCCCGCTATATAAAACTATATAGGTATGTACCTAATAATTGTAAAATGATTTGTTTTTTTGATAAACTAATTAATCAAGTTAATTTCCCACTTTATTTATTAGTTATTAATTCATAGTACAATTATTTATGTCTGGTGACATGCTCACACATAAGTAGCATTGAAAATATACTTAACAACTTATCATTACAACATTTACATAGTAAATCAACGGTAATATAAAATGTATTAAATGTAAGTGATGGAATTAAAGTACCATCAAACATTTTCAAGAATATAATATAAATTATTGTGTATTTTGAATTCTTAATCAAGTTGATTTACTATTCATATTTACTATCATCTATTTCATATCATATTTACTATCCTTAAACTAGTGAAAATACAAATCAAAATAATATTTTGATTTGTGTTATGTAATAATAATTATAATAGTATAGTTTACATCAAAACCTACTTTTGATTTTTATTGTAATAAATAAGTAGCTTTAGTATTTAAATTATTTTATTAAATTATATGATATTGATTACAATGGTACCTAGCTAATTAATAAAATTAAATTTTATACCAATCCTATTATAGTATAATGTCGTACAAAAAACAGTCGAATCTAAGTAGCCGAACTAAGAGAAGAAGAGTTGAAGATGAACTCAGAAATATAGCTTCATTTATTTCAGACCCCATGATTAATCATAATGTTATGCCACAATCCAATTCATCAAAAATCAATTTTGTCCCAGGAGTAAACTCAAATTCGAATGTATTTGTATCTACTTCTAATATTTCTGATGAAAATGTTAATTTTACACCTCCACTAAGAAGTTCAAATGAATCAATTCTTCAAGATTATTTAAATAATGAAGCTTTAGAAAATTTATCAGAAATTAGTATTAATAGTAATAGTGAAAGAGAGTCTTCATCAGATGAACACGTATTATGTATTAGATTTTAAATTTTCATTCTGCACGTAAAATAGGGAAAGACATTGGTATGTGTATTATATTGAAATAATATGCTATTCTGTATTACTATAAGGTGTATTTTTATTAAAATTAGTATTTATTTCTAGAAAAGTTATAGTATGCTTCACAAAAAGCTATGAAGGCCTTATACACGTCAGATTTGTCCACCAATGAGTCTTCATCTCAAATAAATGAGTTTGAAAATACATGTACCAACAATAAAACAAAAAGAAAAATTATATTAAAAGGTAAAAAAACTGAAAATCCTTTGTTATGGAGTCCTGCATCTTGTGATCTTTCAAGTAAATCTTTTAATTATTGCTAACACTTTAAGCATGACTGACTTAATATCTGTTTTTGTTTTATAATTTATTATTAGATGATGAAATTGATGATAGTGATGCAGATCCGAATTATAGTCCTCGTCACATAGAAAATATTAGTCATGGTAAGTAGAATTAATATTATACTAATAATAATTCGTATATCATCGTTTTATATAATGGTTTCAAATGATTAAATATTTTGTAGAAACTCCAACCAAAATCATTGCTGCAGAGGAGATAAATATTTCAAATTCTTGTCCAGTCACATCTTTAAATGTAAAAAAACGTTTGGCGTTTGATATTCCTGAGCGCCATTGTTCTCTGAGTCCAAGTGTGTTTAGTGGTGTCAAGAAATTAAAAAATATTGGTAAGTTATGGTATTATTGCAAATCTACTGAAATAAAATTAAAAATAAATAAGTTCTAAATAAAGAGAAGACTGAAGAGTTTAGACTATGTTCTAGTTAAAGTATTGAATAGATGATAGCGTACAAAGATCATTATAATACGATGAGTAATTTGTCATGACAATATCTATAATATCTATAATATTATTTATAAAAACATAATTATTTGTGATAAATAAAAATAAATTCCTAACTAGTATTAAATATATTTTTAATTGAAATAATAACTGGAAAGTAATAAATAATTTTAGATCACCCACACAACAGTTATATCCACACACACATATATATTATATATACATACAGTCATAACTTATAAGTATATTTTTCTTCATTAGGTCCAGATACAAGAGTCATATCTTCAAATAAATTGGTTGGACACAAATCTTCAGAAATAGTTCATACAACATCGTCGCCTTTCAAAGTAACATTGAACCAATCTATAGAGGAGTCATCTGATATAAATACTTCTTCGGCAGTTAATAATTCTGTACTAGGTAACTTTTTATAATAATTTTGAATTTTCTATTCAAATAGGTCAACATATTATCAGTATATTATTAAATTTTCAGATTATCTACAAAAAATGAACCGAACAATTTGTAATATTAAGTACGACTTGAACATGATGGCTGATAAAATTAATAATATAGAAGGCATGCTCTTCAATGATTTCAAGAGTGGAGATCAAAGTAAAAGAAATTGTGACCATACATTTCAAACAGAATTCAATAATCTTTTGCCTCTTGAAACCGAGGAAAACTTGCAGACCTTTGAAATTAAGCTTTTTAATAAAGAATTTAGAGCTAAAATGGTAATTTATATTAATTTTTAACTACATAAATATATTAAAATGTTTAATTAAAATTTTTTTGAAGGTTGAAGAAATTAAACGGTACTCTCGAAACACATTACCAAGCACTGTGCGTGCAATTATGCGCATTATTTTCCAAGATAGACTTCTAGAAGAGTATAGCTATAAAGGAATAGGAAATAAGAAAGTTTTTTACACATTGGCAACATGTTCTATTATATTTGGTAAGTTTGATTAGTTATAATATAATATTATGATTTTGTTTTTTATCATAGGTATAATAAATTTATCACAGACTCATATAATACTACTATACATCTCTTTACGTATATTATATTATCTGTTGATTATTAATTAGATAAAGAACTCTATAATATATTATTGTAAATAATTTTATTAAATTTTTATTTGATAACAGAGGCAATCAAAAAAATGAAAAAATTCAGCAAGTTTGATGCTAAAGATGTTGAAAATCCTCTAAAAATATTTATAGCTGGTGCCAAATTTAGAGACTCTACACGCAAAAATAATCAAAATCAGGAAGCTGATCTATTAGATAATGCATCGGCTTCGGCTAATACATAAATTAAATATATATTTTAATATTTTTTAATGTATAAAATTAAAGTTAGGAACATGCCTAAAGGAATTACCAGACATAACTATTTACCTATTAGTAATCATTAAAGATTTTTCAATTTTTTTTTTTTTAAATTCATTAATTATTATTATTAAAAGCAAATTGTATGATTTGAATTTTATTTTTTAACATTTAATATTGTAATGTAATTTCATGGATACAATAAATATATATAATATTTGTCATTATGTTCATATTTCTATTACTTATCCTCTAGTCCTCAGCTATTATGATTATTAATATTAAATATTATTAGTTATATAATATATTATAGTACTCGTAGGTCTGGCTAGCAATTCAATTATTTGATATATTTTTTACTGATATCTATATTGAACCATATAGATCAAAAATAATATCAAATTTATTAATATTAAAATAAATTATAATTTAAAATTACCATCAGAATTATATTAAAAAATAATAATCTTAAAAAATTTATAAAATAATATCAAATTAATTTAAGATAAGGATCATCAAATAATAGTTAGAAAAATAACAATATATAAATGATTATTTTATAATAACAAATTAATTTAAAATAAATGACGTTAATTTATGGTTGAAGGGTAATATTTTTAAAATGTATCAAAAAAATGTTCATATGACATTTTACAAAAAATCATAAATTAACAATATAATTGTATCATTCATCTATCCTCAGACTAGTGGCCAAACAACAATATATAATTATTAAAATAACATCATTTTAATCAGAATGTGATGAAATCCTAATAATTATATAATCATATCATTAACAAATAAATAATATTTTGATGTCAATAAAATCTTTTTTTGCTATTTGGGATGTTAATAATAATTAATAATAAAATAAATTGTAATAGAAATATGTATATTTATCTAGTTATCTAATTATCTTCATTATAATTTATTAATAATAACATGCACTTTTAAATTTTTGAATTCAAAAGATTGTCTATATAATATATAGTGATGATAACCTTTCAATCATTCTTAACTCTGAAGAAAAGACATTAAAACAGTATAATTGTCTAAATATGTGAGAAAAAATTGAATAATAATATAATAATAATAATGTGTAAAAATATGTAAATTCAAATATAGCTCGTTTTATCAAAATCTTGTTATACAAATTTATCACTTGCCGTAATTAATAAATAATATAAATCCGAGCCCTAGTAATTACTAATTAAACTACAATAACTTTTAAATCCAAATTTACTATGTAGTATGCTGGTGAGACTTTATTTATATGTTTGAAAAAGTGTTACTTGTCAGTACGGACATGGTTATTTTTTTTAGAATAAATAAATTATGAAATTAACTTAGATTATGTTTGTTTGAAAATATGAATTAATTATCATAGTGGCATAATTGATCTACACTTAATATATTTGACATTATTGTATCGATTTGTAATAATTAATAATCATAACTTTATTTAATATGGGTATGCTTAAATTATTTTAATTGTAATAACTATGTCTACTATTGTCACAGTATTCACAAGTTCAATATTGCGAATTAAAATAGGAGTGTATAATTTTTGAATATAATATATTTTTGTAGTTTTAAAAATTAAAACCTATATATTTTAAACTTTTCAGGTGTTGTGATCCTGCTTTTTCCGAACCATTTCCGCCCAGCATCATATTGCCTTATTTACAGCAGCATCACATCAACTCTCATAATAGTTGTAGTTAGTATTAGTTGTAGTTCTAGTTTTAGCTGTAGTTTGAAAAAAATAGTTGTTTTAGTTTTATGTGTAGTTAAAAAAAAAAACAAAAATAACCCCAAAAAAAGTATAAAAATAAAACCCAAAAAAGTAGTTTTAATTTTTTAAAAAAAAATAGTAGTGTAGTTTTAGCTGTAGTTAAAAAAAAAAACCCAAAAAAAGTAGTTGTAGTTGTAGTTGTATCTAACAGAAAAAAAAGTAGTTTTAAGTATAGTTGTAGTTGTAGTTGTATTTAACAAAAAAAAAAAGTAGTTTTAAGTATAGTTGTAGTTGTAGTTTTAGTTATAATTTTAGTTGTCGAAGAGGGTAAACTCAGACACCTTAAAGTGCCGACGAATTGTTGCTAATTCCGACACGAAATAGTCGAAGAGTGTAAACTCAGACAGCAAAAAGTGCAGACGAATTGTTGTTAATTCCGACACGAAATAGTCGAAGAGTGTAAACTCAGACAGCAAAAAGTGCCGACGAATTGTTGTTAATTCCGACACGAAATAGTCGAAGAGTGTAAACTCAGACAGCAAAAAGTCGAAGAGGTCTTACTCAGGCAGATAAAAGTGTGAACGAATTTGTAATTCAGACACAGAAAACAATTATTTATAAGCTTAAAAATGAGTTTAAACAAAAAATTGGATGAGGTAGCTCATTATATTAAAAATCAATATCCAAATTTAAATTTTGGAAATGTCTCAGTTTCTGACAGTTGTGTAACTAATATTTGCAATAACATCTTTAATAAAGAAAATGATAGAGCTTTAAAAAAATCAATTGCAAATGCTATCAATAGAAACAATGCATCTCTTCGTAAACGTATTACAAGTATGAACAATACTGATTTATGTAATGTGTCAGAAATGAATAGTAAAATAATAAAATATATTGAAGACTTTAACTATACGTCTAGTGATTTCTTAAATTACAATCACATAATTCTGAATGACATATGTAAACACATTAAAGTCACTGTAGATCAAGGTAACCGTATTAAAGTGTATAGACAATGTAAAAAACACTTTGACATGTCTTTGTGTAATCCATCGGATGACGCAGACATTATGAATTCAAATAGTGTTTATTTTAATGAAAATTC